GGGGAAATAGGCTACCTTGCATAATGACTAAGCCACTCCCAGTCTCTATTCAAGCCTAAGTTAATTGTATCCAATTTGCAAATGAATTCCAATTCAGCAGTTTCTCGCTGGAGTCTGGATTTGAAGTTTTTTTGTTGTAATATCGCAACTTTCATGTCTGTAATCGCGTGACCAGAGAGATTGAAGTGTTCTCTGACTGGTTTATGAATGTTATAATTCTTGACATCTGATTTGTGTCCATTTATTCTTTTACGTAGAGACTGTCCAGTTTGACCAATGTACATGGCAGAGGGGCATTGCTGGCACATGATGGCATATATCACATTGGTGGATGTGCAGGTGAATGAGCCTCTGATAGTGTGGCTGATGTTATTAGGCCCTGTGATGGTGTCCCGTGAATAAATATGTGGGTACAGTTGGGAACGGGCTTCGTTGCAAGGATAGGTTCCTGGGTTAGTGGTTCTGTTGTGTGGTGTGTGGTTGCTGGTGAGTATTTGCTTCAGGTTGGCTGGCTGGCTGTAGGCACGGACTGTCCTGTCTCTCAAGATCTGTGAGAGTGTTGGGTCATCCTTCAGGATAGGTTGTAGATCCTTAATAATGCGTTGGAGGGGTTTTAGTTGGGGGCTGAAGGTGACGGACAGTGGCATTCTGTTATTTTCCTTGTTTGGCCTGTCCTGTAGTAGGTGACTTCTGGGAACTCTTCTGGCTCTATCAGTCTGTTTCTTCACTTCCGCAGGTGGGTATTGTAGTTGTAAGAATGCTTGATAGAGATCTTGTAGGTGTCTGTCTGTGTCTGAGGGGTTGGAGCAAATGCGGTTGTATCGCAGAGCTTGGCTGTAGACGATGGATCGTGTGGTGTGGTCGGGGTGAAAGCTGGAGGCATGTAGGTAGGAATAGCGGTCGGTAGGTTTCCGGTATAGGGTGGTGTTTATGTGACCATCGTTTGTTAGCACTATAGTGTCCAGGAAGTGGATCTCTTGTGTGGACTGGACCAGGCTGAGGTTGATGGTGGGATGGAAATTGTTGAAATCATGGTGGAATTCCTCAAGGGCTTCTTTTCCATGGGTCCAGATGATGAAGATGTCATCAATATAGCGCAAGTAGAGTAGGGGCGTTAGGGGACGAGAGCTGAGGAAGCATTATTCTAAGTCAGCCATAAAAATGTTGGCATACTGTGGGGCCATGCAGGTACCCATAGCAGTGCCGCTGATCTGAAGGTATACATTGTCCCCAAATGTAAAATAGTTATGGGTAAGGACAAAGTCACAAAGTTCAGCCACCAGGTCAGCCACCAGGTAACATTATCGGGGATAGTGTTCTTGACGGCTTGTAGTCCATCTTTGTGTGGAATGTTGGTGTAGAGGGCTTCTACATCCATAGTGGCCAGGATGGTGTTATCAGGAAGATCACTGATGGATTGTAGTTTCCTCAGGAAGTCAGTGGTGTCTCGAAGGTAGCTGGGAGTGCTGGTAGCGTAGGGCCTGAGGAGGGAGTCTACATAGCCAGACAATCCTGCTGTCAGGGTGCCAATGCCTGAGACGATGGGGCGGCCAGGATTTCCAGGTTTATGGATCTTGGGTAGTAGATAGAATATCCCAGGTCGGGGTTCCAGGGGTGTGTCTGTGCAGATTTGATCTTGTGCTTTTTCAGGGAGTTTCTTGAGCAAATGCTGTAGTTTCTTTTGGTAACTCTCGGTGGGATCAGAGGGTAATGGCTTGTAGAAAGTGGTGTTGGAGAGCTGCCGAGCAGCCTCTTGTTCATATTCCGATCTATTCATGATGACAACAGCACCTCCTTTGTCAGCCTTTTTAATTATGATGTCAGAGTTGTTTCTGAGGCTGTGGATGGCATTGTGTTCCGCACGGCTGAGGTTGTGGGGCAAGTGATGCTGCTTTTCCACAATTTCAGCCCATGCACGTCAGCGGAAGTACTCTATGTAGAAGTCCAGTCTGCTGTTTCGACCTTCAGGAGGAGTCCACCTAGAATCCTTCTTTTTGTAGTGTTGGTAGGAAGGTCTCTGTGGATTAGTATGTTGGAAATATTCCTTGAGTCGGAGACGTCGAAAATAGGATTCTAGGTCCCCACAGAACTGTATCATGTTCGTGGGGGTGGAGGGGCAGAAGGAGAGGCCCCGAGATAGGACAGCTGCTTCTGCTGGGCTGAGAGTATAGTTGGATAGGTTAACAATATTGCTGGGTGGGTTGAGGGAACCATTGCCGTAGCCCCTTGTGGCATGTAGTAGTTTAGAAAGTTTAGTGTCCTTTTTCTTTTGTAGAGAAGCAAAGTGTGTGTTGTAAATGGCTTGTCTAGTTTTAGTAAAGTCCAGCCACGAGGAAGTTTGTGTGGAAGGTTGTTTTTTTGTGAGAGTATCCATTTTTGAGAGCTCATTCTTAATCTTTCCCTGTTTGCTGTAGAGGATGTTGATTAGGTGATTCCGCAGTTGCTTTGAGAGCGTGTGGCACAAGCTGTCAGCATAGTCTGTGTGGTATGTAGATTGTAATGGATTTTTTACCTTCAGTCCTTTTGGTATGATGTCCATCTGTTCCCCATGTTTATTCCCCCCCCCATTGTTCCTCAGATGTTCTTGTCAACTGCTATTTCCCCATGTTTATTTCTCTTCCCCCCACTCCCTCCCACCCTTCCTCAGACGTTCTTGTCAACAGCTGGAAATGGCTCACCTTGATTATCACTACAAAACATTTTTCTCCCCCGCTCTCCTGCTGGTAATAGCTCACCTTACCTGATCACTCTCGTTACAGTGTGTATGGTAACACCCATTGTTGCATGTTCTCTGTGTATATAAATCTCCCCACTGTATTTTCCACTATATGCATCCGATGAAGTGAGGTGTAGCTCATGAAAGCTTATGCTCAAATAAATTTGTTAGTCTCTAAGGTGCCACAAGTACTCCTTTTCTTTTTGTGGATACAGACTAACACAGCTGCTACTCTGAAACCAATCACATCATAGTTCCTTTACTGTGCCAGGACTTCCAATTGCGTTCATGTACAAGCACCTAAGATAACTAGCCAATTGCCCTACTTGGTCAGTATGAATTGGGAGGCCTGCCCTGTTGCATCCTTCTTGTGTTTCTTCCTGGTATCTCACTTCCCCACTTGCCTCAGGGGTTAGGTCTCCATCCCCCAGCAAACCTAGTTTAAAGCCCTCCTCACTAGGTTAGCAAGCCTGCCTGCGAAGATGCTCTTCCCTCTCTTCGTTAGGTGGATCCCATCTTTTCCTACCAATCCTTCTTCCTGGAACAGGAACCTCCATTTCCTACATTAATACTTAGAGTAAACTAGACTAGTATGAAGGAAACAGTACCACTTAGTGGCTAAAGTGGACTGAAGCTCAAATCTGAGTTCCGTTCCCAACTATGTCACAAGTTCAGTGTGTGACTGAGCACGTAACTTAATGTCTCTAGCAAAATAAGGATACTTCCTACCTTTGTAAAGTATTGTGAGATTTTTACTTAAAGCCAAAATACTTAAATGTTGGTTTTATTCGCAAAGACGCTTTATTTACTAGATCAGTCAGAACAGACTGACACTTCCCCAGGTCACAACATCCCTTTGAGTTCAAAACACTGACAGCTGACTTAATTAACCTAAACCTTCATATATACTTTGAAAACTTGTTCCCCAAGTCCCTTTCTCTTTGCCTCTCTTATGGTGACGCTTGTGATGTTCAGATACATTATCTTCCTGATAAAGAAACACAAAAAGTTTCAGATTAGCTGACAGATATAAAAATAGCAAATTTATATCAGACTGATACCCTGTTATCTTCATGAAAGAGCTGCTTAGTTAAAGCACTACATTTAGAAATTTTAACAAGTTAACTTTTTTTTTTTTTTAATCTCTGGTACAAGCATTAATGGTGGCAAGAAGTCAGTAAATACCTATGTTGGCTTCTAAGCAGAGTGTGGCAGCGATACATCTTAACTTGTTCTGGAGTGAGGATGTTGTTTCACTATCTACCAATGAAAAGATAAATCCCAAACAGAACTTGAATCCACTATTTCATGCTGAAGTCAGCACCTTGCCCTCTAAACCAGTGGTTCTCAAACTGATTTGATTGAGCCCCGCTTCTTTGTGTCTGTAGTCATTTATGGCTTCCCACCCCCAAGTACATATATCGCCACCCAGCTCTGAAGGCAGAGCAGTGGCTGCTGGCTGAGCGCCCCGCTCTGAAAGCAGCACTGCGCCAGCAGCAACATAGCAGTGTAAAGGAGTCAACAGGATACTTAGCATCCAGTTGCTACCCTTACTTCTGCACTGCCGCTGCAGGGCTGGCATCCTGCCACCTTCAGCTGAGAGATTTTGAGGGCGTCCTGCTACCTCCAGCCGGGGGGGAGGAGTGCCTAAGCTCAGGTGTTATCCCCACTTCCTGGATGTGCACAGCCCTTATACACGAGCCCCAGCCACCTTGGGCTGACAGCCACCGCTCTTCACAAAAGAAAAACACAGCTCACACCTCCCTCATAGTTTAAGAACTGCTGCATTAGACTAATTGGGTTCATGCAGGTTGACTGTTTGAATCAGTGACCAGTAAATATTAGATTTACTGAAGGTAAAAATGTTTACATACCTTGTCACCCTTTGCTTTTGACACTGGATCCATTTCACACTTTTAACTGGAGAGTTGCATACTGCTTTTTCCAGAACTTACCCAGTTTGGCTGGAGAGTCAATAAAGAAAAATGGGCTGAATGTATTATCAATCTAAAAGTGAGACCACTTGTGAAATTGTTACACTTCCAACAAACTCTTAAGCTGCTTATATGCAATTTTCATAACCCTTATTTAGGATTTTTCATGTTCAAAGCACTTACAAAATAGCTGGCTAATGTTTGTGTAAAATAAAGTTAAACTTAGTCCTAAACAATTTCCTCTCTTTAATGAGGATAATGTAGAGTAATTACATGGCATTTATGATGAAATTTTAGTCAATAGACTAATTTCAAGTATTTATATTAACTTGTGGTGCTGTATATCCCAGGTGTTCTGTTATGCCCTCAGCCCTGATGATGGGACAAACTTCCGTGTAAAGGTGATGGCAGAAGCAAATCATTTCATTGACCTCTCCCAGGTGAGCTTTCATTGTTTTGAATTTGCAGCATGTTTTTCAGAAATGGAGTTCTCAACCTATGGTTAAGGATCCTGGTCACAGTGAATTTCTTGGAGTACAAATTATGCTCCCAGGTAATGGTAAGAGTGATCTTCAGAATTCTTTTGTGGTAGTGTATGTCAGCAGTTTCATCGTTATGTAGGGAATCAATGGGCATTGTGTGAACTTTAAGTGTGACTATTGGAATTTTATTAATGTGGGTGCTGGTTGTGGATTAAAACGATAGTCATGCACATAGCCTAAGTTGGTCGAGGAGACTTGCTACAGTGGTTGAATATTTTGGGCTTGATTCTTGGGTACATTTAAGGCTGTTGTATGCTACTCAAACAATATAAAGCATAGCATGGCTTAGCAAGTTGGTGAAAGATTCCCCCTGCATAGTGGAATAACAGAGATTTAGTCACTGGAGCAGCTTCTACCTCCATCACCTCTTGGATCGAAGGTATGTGGCAAAGGTTTTACTACATCTTAAATGATCCTCAGATGCAGAAGCAGTCCCTGGGGTCCAAGGATGGCTGTAAATTAGAGTAGTCCTGCAAATCCTCTAATACACATTGGAGCTGAGACTGGCCTGGCAGCTGTACAGCAGCAGGGGATAGCTTAAATTCATCCCCTTGGACCATGCAATATGCAGCTGATGTGCCACTTAAAATCTGGGCTCTTGAATAAAAATGGTGTATCTGCTAAACTGACAGCAACAGAAATGCTGTTCTTCAAGAGATCCTCTGCATACTTGCACTTGCAAAATGTGTTCCCAAAGCTGCTGAACTTCAGGAACAATTTGGAAAGCACTGCCTGCTGAGTATTTCTCTCAGAACTGAACATTTAATACCTAGCGTGGACCCCGTTCAGCTGTACACTGTTGTTGTGAGCTTTACAAACACCTCGCACCTTCTCCTGCAGTATTTACATAGCTGATACAAGAGCCGCCACACTGATGCCATGCAAGCAGCCCTGCTGGAAGATGTAGAGCAGAGCAATTCACAGTTGCTGATGACTGTTTCACATCACCTTGACACAGCTGAGCTCCATTTCTAAGCCCAGGAAACAAGTACTGAATGGTGGGACTGCATCATTATGCAGATATGGGATGGCGAGCAATGACTCAGGCAGCTCCCGGTGCCGGGTGAGAGGTCAGGCTGGGGGCCTGCTCCCCTCCCCTCCCATCTCGCTCTGACATGTCAACCCGGCAGTCGGCTCGGTAACTGCTTGCGCAGAGTGCCAGCTTTATCCTTTGCAAGGAAACAGGCCGGTGGGTGCCAGGGCAGAGGATGGAGTTCGAGCTCATGGAGAGCGACATCCTGGAGTCGTTGGAGGATCTAGGTTACAAAGGTCCATGGTTAGAAGATGAAGCACTGACTCAAGCAGTCTCTGGTGGAGCCAGTTCCCCTGAATTTACCAAACTTGCTACTTGGCTGGTATCTGAGTTAAGGCTATATTGTAAACTAGAAGAAAATGTGCAAGCTACTAACAATCCAAGTGAAGCAAAAGAGTTCCAACTTGAAGTGAGTGGGCTACTGGGGGAAGTGAACTGTCCATATGCATCATTAACATCAGGAGATGTGACAAAACGCCTTCTTAATTAGAAGAATTGCCTCCTGCTGCTCACATACCTCATCTCAGAACTGGAAGCTGCCAAAATGCTGTGTGTGGATGCCCATCCGAAAAAAGCACAAGAAGGAGGTGTTAGCGAGGTCTTTCAGGAGCTAAAAGGCAGTTGTATTGCATTAGGTGTGTCCAAGACTCTGGCCAACATAACTGTGTTCCAGTTGTTCAGTGGAATCAGGGGAAAAAAACTAAAAGAAACCTTAGCACAGGTTTCACTTGGCCATGTTGGAAAACCTTTACTGAAGAAACCATTGGGACCAGCTTATTGGGAAAAAATTGAAACAATTAACCAAGCCATAGCCAATGAGTATGAAGTTTGGACAAAACTATTAGTGAAACGTTTGGATGTAACTGTGCAGTCCTTTGGCTGGTCAGCTAGAGCTAAGAGTCAACCAGAGAAACTGGCTAAAGTCTACCAACCCAAACGTGCCTTCTTAACTACCAACTGCACTATTTCCATTGCTCACCTCTTGGCAGCTCAGCAAGATTGTCAAAGATTGAGGATAAGCAGTGGGTCTATCCAAGAAAAGACTGTGTTTGCCATTAATAAGGTATTAATGGGCAGAATACCTGACAGAGGGGGCAGACCAAATGAAACTGAGCCTCCACCTCCTGAGATGCCACCATGGCAGAAAAGACTAGTTGCTTACCATATTAACTAGTGATTCTTCTTTGAGTGTTTGCTCATATCGATTCCAATTAGGTTTGCGTGCGCTGTGTGCATGGCCGTTGGAAACTTTTCCCCTAGCAGCATCCATCGGGTCGGCTGTGGAGCCTCCTGGAGTGGCGCCTGCACGGCACTCAATATATACCTCAGCCAACCTGGGGCCCCCTCAGTTCCTTCTTACTGCCCGTGACGGTTGTTGGAACTGTGGCATCTTGCTCTGCAAGTTCTCCACGTTTCTCTAGCTCTATAGATAGTTTGTTTGGTTTGTAGTTCTGGTTTTGGTTTTAGTTGGGTTGGTGAGTAACTGTTTTTTCTTTGAATAGTTATCCCTATGGGTGCTCTGCTTCAGGAGCACATGCGCACTCATGCGCCTTTGATCGGAAACTTTCAGTTGCAGCCTGTGTTCTGTGTGCTTGTGCTATGAGTTGAGGGTATCTAGGGAAGATCAGGCCCACCACTGGTCCTAGTCCTTCTCAACCACCTGTAGCCTGAGATGAAACCTTGTGTCTGTTGGTTAGCTTTGCTAATCCAGCGTTGTTCTTACCCTACTTGTATTTCTTTTTATTTCAATGTAGTTGTTTTTAACCTGTTTTCTTTCACATTCTGCCCATCTTGGGGTGGCATTTTCTTTTCCCCCAGTTTCCTGGTTGCCGGCTCCTTGTCTGCCTTAGTTCCCTTGTTTAGTGTTCTCTTTCAGCTCAGGGTATGTTCAACCCCAGGTTTTAAACCTTGCCATGTGTGCAACAGATCTCTTTCCCTCAGCAACGGACATTGCAGTTGCCTTGGGAAGGCCCATATCCTGTCTAAACGTAGGGTCTGCACTGGCTTCAAGATCTGATCTAGGAAGTTGCAGAAAGACAGGCTCATGTTACTCCTCATGGAGTTATCCTTGAGACCAGCTACTGATTCATGTCTGCAGTCCTCCAGGTTTCCCCAAGAGGTCCAGGACACAGTTGAAGATTTCCCTTTTGAATGTCTCAAGTTTTTTTCTGTGGAACTGCTGAAGTCTCTCCACTCGCTATAGGATTCAGGAGCCGCCTCTTGATCATTGGGCATCTACGCTAATTGTGACAAAAAGGAAATGATCACAGACAGCTTAAAGATCTTGTCCCGCACAGTACATATTAGAGGATGGCAGAACCACCCAGGGAGTAGGTTCAGTTTCAGAGGGAAAATTTCTCATCCACTGTCACCACCCAGCCAACAGCTTCCAGCAAACTTTTTTTTTTTATACGTTGGTTGAAAGCCATGACTCACTCTACCACCTGGACCTGTTGCTGCATCATCCTTTCCAATGGGATTCTTTCCAATTTCAGACAATCATTGGAAAAGTCATTACATCAGGCTACACCATTCACTTCAGACCTGAGTGTATTTATTGGCAGCTCATAGTCATCCTGTGATCAATGTGATGTGGCCATGAAAAAGGCTAATGCAGTCCTAGGATGCATTAGGCAAGATATTTCCAGTAGAAACAGGGAAATGTTAGTACCATTATACAAGGTATTGGTGAGACCTCATCTGGAATACTGTGTGCAATTCTGGTCTCCCATGTTTAAGATGAATTCAGACTGGAACAGGTGCAGAGAAGGGCTACTAGGATGCTCTGAGGAATGGAAAACTTACCTTGAGAGGAGGCCCAAAGAGCTTGGCTTGTTTAGCCATACCAAACGAAGGCTGAGCGGAGATATGATTGCGCTCTATAAATACATCAGAGGGATAAATACCAGGGAGGGAGAGAAGTTATTTAAGCGCCAATGTGGACACAAGAACAAATGGATATAAACTAGCCATTAACAAGTTTAGGCTTGAAATTGAGTGAAGGTTTCTAACTATTGGAGGAATGAAGTTCTGGAATAGCCTTCCAAGGAGAGTCACGGGGGCAGAAATCCTCACTGGCTTCAAGACTCAGCTTGGTAAATTTTTATGGAGGGGATGGTATGGTGAGAGAGCCTACAATGGCATGTAGCCAATCTGTGACTGCTAACAGCAAATATCTCCAACAGCTGGTGATTGGACACTAGATGGGGAGAGCTCTGAGTTACTACAGAAAATGCTTTCCCAGGTGTTTGGTGGGTCTTGCCTACATGCTGCGGGTCTAACTGATTGCCATATGTGGGGTCAGGAAGGAATTTTCCCAGTCAGATGGGCAGAAACCCTTTCCTTTGTAGAACGGGACATGGGTCACTTGCAGATTTAAACTAGTGTAAATAGTGGATTCTCTGTAACTTCATGTCTTTAAACCATGATTTGAGGACTTCAATAATACAGCCAGAGGTTAGGGATCTGTTATAAGAGTGAGTGGGTGAGAGTCTGTGGCCTGCAATGTGCAGGAGGTCAGACAAGATGATCATGATAGTCCTTCTGACCTTAGTCTGAGCCTGTGAAAGCAGCTCTCTCACCAACAGAAGTCTCCATAATTGATAAGTATCAGAAGGGTAGCGTGTTAGTCTGGATATGTAAAAGCGGCAGAGTTCTGTGGCACCTTTATAGACTAACAGATGTATTGGAGCATGGGTGAATACTCACTTCTCTAGCTCTCTGGGCCTGCTATCATACCAAATGTCTGAGTGAACTTGGACATGCTTGCCCTCAGAGTATTTTTTCAGGGTTAACTGAGTGACTATTGTCACTCATAGCATCTTTATTTGGGGGAAGTGGATATGAGAAACTTGAGCTAGCTGTAAATTTAATCTGAACTATATAGTGCTGTTTAAAGTTTTTCTATATATTAAACTTGTTGGTGTGCTGACTTCTAATCTTGCTTTTGGCCTTTCAGTGATAAAGTAAGAATAATTAGTAATGTATGTTCTTGATTCTTGTATTTTAGATACCATGTAATGGAAAGGCAGCAGATCGCATTCACCAGGATGGGATACACATCCTCATTAACATGAATGGCTATACTAAGGGAGCCCGTAATGAGCTGTTTGCTCTCAGACCAGCACCTATCCAGGTAAAGGAATTAAACAGTGTTTGGAGAGCTCTGTCTGATGTAAGAGCATTGCTCAGCATGGTCATAGAACAGGCTGGTTTCTCTCTCCTCTCCTTTAAGTTAGGAGTGCTGTGGAAATGGCATGTTGATCCATACGGGACTGAATGAAAGTGAGCATTGCTCTGAAAGGAGTAGTGTATGAATAAAATAATTGTTTGGTTTATATACAATTAGCTCCCTTTTTCCAATATTTATATGTTGAATAATATTCCAAAGGAAAGAATAAACATAGCTTCATGGTTCCTGAGCATGCTAGCGTCTTGTTCTGGTGAGAGCAGATATTTTAAGCAATGTTGTCAGTCATGCTGTTTGGTACGAGGCCTCAGCTTTGAATCTTTGCAGGAAGGATACAACTAGGAGAAACCAGTTGTGCCTGGTTTCTGCCTCTGTGGAATTTATTTCCATGAACAAGAATAATTCCATACAGGTTGAGTACATGATTGAATAAGCACAATATTTTTTGGTAACACAGCATCAGATAATGCTGTAAACATTGTGCTGAACCAGGTGCGATTTGAACATGCTGTGGTATACTGACACCAAAGTCCTTACAGTGCATATATGCAAACATACCATGTTCAAATTAAAATAACTCAATACCAACACATAGTGGAAGATTAATGCTACTAAGAGGAAACCCTGGATGGTGGAAATACTCAAGGTAGTGACATTTTAAATATATAGGTGAGCTGGAACTGTTGGATACACCTTTAATCTGTTGTAGATGAGCTCCATTTTAAGTTAGTGATCTCAAGCCATGTTATAAAATTCTATAAAGCAAATTTATTTCATTCTGCCATACAAAAGAGTTAGAGCAGTTTACTGTTATCAATATGTGGATACTTACAGGATCTGCAATTCTGTAGTATCCTGATGCCTCTCATCGTTAATGGATTTTATCCTCGCAAGACTCCTGGTAGGCAGGGATATTTCATTCCATCGATAAGGAATGGAGAGACAGGGCAGGGCACATCAGGGTGTGGTGGTGGAACTGGGAATTGAATTCTGGTCTCAAGTGTCAGTCCAGTGTCCTGTATGCTAGGCCATCTTTCAATCCTTCACTGCTGCTGTATTGTTGGATAATTGTGTCCTTGGTTTAAAATGCACACTGGATTGATTGAGTTATTTGAACTCATTCTGCACTTGGAGGCTTTCTGTGGCCAACATAGAACTGCCGTTTCCAAAGTTTTTCTGAAAAAATACTGGAAAAATGTAAGTAGCAAGAGAGAGCTGTCGTGTTTGTGATTTATTTTACCTTGCCTTAGGTGTGCTAAAACCTTTTAGTACAGATAAGGAGACAGGGTTCCTCAAAGAGCACAAATATTCTTGAAGATACAGTTTGGCCTGTAGACTTTTAATTCTTTAAGGGTGCTGTGTACACAGAATTCTCACTCCTGTGTCTCTGTCTCCAATATCAGACTAGGGAGGTCCCAAAGCTAAACAGTCTTGGACTGTTGCAGCATGCACACATATCAGCAGGTAAGCTATTCTTGCCTTGCAGCATGAGTGGTACTTCTCATTAGCAGGGCCCTACCAAATTTATGGTCCATTTTGGTCAATTTCATGGTCACAGGATTTTAAAAATCATAAATGTCATGATTTCAGTTATGTACATCTAAAATTTCACAGTGTTGTAATTGTAGGGGTCCTGACCCAAAAAGAAGTGTGTGTGTGTGTGGGGGGGGGGGGTCACAAGGTTATTGAAGGATGGGTTGTAGTGTTGCTGCCCTTACTTCTGTGCTGCTCCTGGCAGCAGTGCTGCCTTCAGACCTGGGCAGCTGGAGAGTGGCGGTTGCTGGCCGGGATCCCAGCTCTAAAGGCAGAGCTGTCGCAAGCAGCAGTACAGACGTAAGGATGGCCTGGTATGGTATTGCCACCCTTACTTCTGCGCTGCTGCTAGCAGGGCACTGCCTTCAGAGCTGGGTGCCCAGCCTACAGCCGCCTGAAGTAAGGGTGGCAATACCATGACCTCCCTAAAATAACTTTGCAACCCCCTTACAACTCCCTTTTGGACCCCAATTTGAGAAACGCTGAAATCTGTATAGTATAGGGTAAAAGCACGCAAAAGACCTGGTCTCCTTCCGTGAAATCTGAATTCATGGTCCGTGACATGTTTTTCATGGCACTGAATTTGGTAGGACCCTATTCATTAGTGCTTTCACTTCTGATTTTTCCTACAGATAGTTGAGCAGCTCCTTCTGATTGCTCCTGTTAGCAGCCATAGCTAGTGAGCCTGCTGGTAGGTGATGGATTAATCTTGAGGTTTCCTTGGGATTTTAAATCCTTGTTTCATCTAGTCTTTTTGCAGATTAAAATAAAAATAGATGAAATACACAGGTAGTGAAGAGGTATGCTAATTCAGGAACATATTCAGTGGTATTGTGGAATGCCATACCAAGGGATTCTTGTGGTCAGTCAGCTCAGTAGTGACCTACTCTGATGCATAATCCAATCTGTGGTCCTAATGTCTTCTCTGACCTTTTGATACCAGTTGATGTGCAAAAGAAGAGAGCTGTCCCTTTTACCCATCCATTTCAGAACCTTGCTAAGTGGGACAGATAGGTTCTCAGATTGGCGCCCATCACCATGGCATCTGTACACCTCCAGGAGTAAGAACAGCAATCTGCCTTTTGCCAGTAGGGAAGGAAGACGTAGATTTTTGTTCCTTGTCCGAGCATAAGTGTGTGTAAGTGTACTGGTTGCAGAAACGCTCCTGCAAAACAATGGGAGTAGTCTTATTTACTAGATGCTGACTTTGGTATCTGGCACTGAACAGCCTTGTATCCTATAAAGCAGATCTGAATCAGTTGAGTCGTCAGTGGGTAGATGTTTCAATTAGTTGGTCTGAGAAAAGGATAGTTTAAGCTAAACACCACCTTGAATGTCCTTCTGTGAGGTTCTTGAAGCAGTGCAAATGCTGGTCTGTTAGACGTTTTGGACTCGCTGCTCTACTGTTGCAGCTATATGTGATAACTGTTTTTCAAAAGAGCCAACCGGCCCAAAGAAGACCTACAAATGTGTGAAAATTGTCACTGACTGTAAAATGATTTATGGGTTTTCATTTAATTTTGGGCTTTCATTTAATTTTGGGCTTGTTCACTCTTACCATCTCACCTCCATTTAACTAGTAGTGGTTGTGAACCCTTTCCTCTTTGCAGGGTTCCTTTGGGACTGCATCCCTCTTGGATGTTCAGGAAACCCTGTGTGCCTAGCTCCTCTTGTCTACTTGGGGCAATCTGCTCCTTATTTCCCCTCCCCTCTGGAAAAAGCAGAAGTGGCTCGAGCCTTTCCTCCCACAACAAAAAAGCAGCATCTCCTAACTCTCTGCTCTTAGCTATTCCACTTCCCTTCTAGAAAACTAGCATTGCTGCTGCTATGTAAGCTGCTAGGTTCCTTCTCCCAACCTATCCCACCCCCACATATATCCAGAGGAGGAACCAGTGGCTTCCTGGCCCTGCTTGTGTGGATGAAGTGTCTGTTTTTAACACCCTGCTGAATGCAGTGGGACAAATCCAACCTATACTGTCATACAGTACACTAATCAAAGGAGGAAGAGACTAATGGTAAAAAAAATTTAAAGCACCTTATGTCCTTTTGACTTTCAATGAGACTTAGGTTCATAAGTCACATGAGCAGCATGGAGAATTAGCTTAAATCTCGACAAGGGGGAGAGAAACCTGAGGACCGTCTAATTCCAGGCCACTGCAGTCTCCAAACAGGTCAAAGAAACTGAGGTGACTGGTTAATACCCAACTTCACAACTGAGTATAGCTGACTCTGTGTCCTTGATGGATTTCTGGCCATAATTGTCACAGGGTGTGTTTTTTTGTTTTTTTTTAATTTGTCATTATTCCAATGATTGGCGACAATTCTCTCATTTTGTCGGGTTTCAGCCATTTGAGAATCCGTGTGAGAACCTTGGTAGAGAGATGCTGAATCAGAGCAGGTTATACAGTTGCACGTATGGTTTGTCCACACTTGAGATTAAAATCTGTTGCTTTTTGGCTTGGCTTGTAGGCTATGTGGCTGGGATACCCTGGAACCAGTGGAGCGCTGTTCATGGATTATATCATCACAGATCAAGAAACTTCCCCAGTTGATGTGGCAGAGCAATATTCTGAGAAACTGGCTTACATGCCAAACACTTTCTTTATTGGAGACCATGCTAATATGTTCCCCCACCTGAAGGTAAGAGACAGCGATGGAAAGGAAAGCCAATAGTATTGATTATCTAGTGGGGACTTGCGCTTCTCTAGGAACTTATATTCAGTACAGTAATTTGGCAATGGAATGTTGTAAATTGAAACTTGTTTTCTTGCTCCATAGAAAAAAGCAGTCATTGATTTCAAGTCCAATGGCCATATTTATGATAACAGGATTGTTTTGAATGGCATAGACTTGAAGGCATTCCTTGACAGCCTCCCTGATGTCAAAATTGTTAAGGTGAGAACTTCACTTCTTTGCACTCTGCCCTAGTAGACTGAACGCAGCATTTTCTCACTGATGAATCTTGCACGATTTCTTAGATGAAGTGCCCTGATAGTGGAGACAATGCAGACAGCAATGCTGCCCTCAGTATGCCAGTCATTCCTATGAATACAATTGCAGAAGCTGTGATTGAGATGATTAATCGTGGACAAATTCAGATAACAATCAATGGATTCAACATTAGCAATGGACTAGCAACTACACAGGTGAGGCCAAGTAGGATAGAAAACTGTTTTTCTCCTCCCTCTTTATTCCCTTGTAACTTCTCTTCCCTCCATCTTGAATCAATATTTTATTTTTTCTCATAATATAAATTAATCCCTTGAGTTTTTAAATGATTTTGTTACTCTTCTTTGAATTTTCTTCATTTTAGCTACCTGTTGTGAAAAAGGGGACAAACAGAATGCAGATTTCTTATCATGGTCTTATCATGCCAGTGCTGTGTAGCTGGACAAATTACATGTTTTGCCTTTCCATATGCAGTTCTAAATCAAATTAGTTCTTCTTCTTGCCAGATCACATTGCAAGCTCATATCTAATTACCCTCTCAATCTTCCCACTTAAACTGTTTTAGACATTGCCATACAGCTGTCTTAATTTGCATTTTTTCAGATGTAATGTTTTTCTGCCCATATTTCTAAAGTCTCTGGGTTCTATTATATCTTCAGAACACTTATGAATTACCATTGTGTGTGAATTTTCTTAAGTCTTCCAAATGATTAAAGATGTAATATGACTGGATGTAATTAACTGAAGCACCCCACTAGATAAACCTCAACTCGATATGTAATTTTTTGTTCCTTGTTCATGGCCCTCTAATCCGTCCTTACTATGTATGATCATGTCCTATTAAAGCCAGTTGTTTTAAGTGCTGATCCTGTGCTTATTGCTGTACAAGACCAATGTACATATAGTCCTTGCCCCAAGGAGTTTACTATCTAAAACAGTTAAGAAACCAGAGGAACTACAAGAGATTGCAAGATAGCGTATTTAAAATTTTAAGTGGCCTCTGCACATTCCCACACTTGGGATATGTTGGTGGTGTAGCTTGGACTGATGGAACCTTCTAATAGCAAGGTCTAGTGGAACATGCTCGTGCCTTCAGAGCCATAAGGGAAGGAGCAGAACATCTGAAGAGTAGACTATGAAAGGGGTTGTGGCACACTGTCCACCTCAGTTCCTTCTAACCCTGGTAACAGATGGACCAGCAGCCTAGCTGGGTCCTTGGACCCACATTTGCACAAGTGCATCATTCCTGGGGTGAGTGCTGCCTTATTTTGCTTAGTTATTTTCTTGTTTGTTTTTTTTTAACAAAATACTCTGGCAAATGTCATTAGTTCTGACACACTGGAACCATAGATGGAGAAACCATAGTTCAAGAGAGATGCCTCTTGCTCTGCTGCTTTTCCTAATACAAATGCACATGTGCATTGTTTGGCTTCCTTTGAGGAAGGTCATTTGCCTTCTCATTGTTCCATATGCAGCACCTTCTCACTCTGGGCCAGAAAGGAGCATCAGAATCCTCTCCAAGCTGTATCATTGCAGGAAGCATTAGTGGGTAAACGTTCTGGTTCCAAAACACAGTGATAAGCCAGAACATAAGAACAGCCATATTGGGTAAGACCAAAGGTCCATCCAGCCCAGTATCCTGTCTACCGACAGTGGCCAATACTAGGTGCCCCAGAGGGAGCGAACCTAACAGGTAATGATCAAGTGATCTCTCTCCTGCCATCCATCTCCACCCTCTGACAAACAGAGGCTAGGGACACCATTCCTTACCCATCCTGGCTAATAGCCATTAATGGACCTTACCTCCATGAATTTATCCAGTTCTCTCTCAAACCCTGTTATAGTCCCAGCCTTCACAACCTCCTCAGGCAAGGAGTTCCACAGGTTGACTGTGTACTGAGTGAAGAACTACTTCCTTTTATTTGTTTTAAACCGGCTGCATATTAATTTCATTTGGTGGCCCCTAGTTCTTATATTATGGGAACAAGTAAATAACTTTTCCTTATTCACTTTCTCCACACCACTCATGATTTTATAGACCTCTATCATATCATCCCTTAGTCTCCTCTTTTGCAACCTGAAAAGTCCTAGCCTCTTTAATCTCTCCTCATATGGGACCCGTTCCAAACCCCTAATCGTTTTAGTTGCCCTTTTCTGAATCTTTTCTAATGCCAGTATATCTTTTTTGAGATGGGGGGACCACATCTGTAAGCAGTATTCAAGATGTGGGCATACCATAGATTTATATAAGGGTAATAAGATATTCTCCGTCTTATTCTCTATCCCTTTTTTAATGATTCCTAACATCCTGCTTGCTTTTTTACTGCCGCTGCACACTGCGTGGATATCTTCAGAAAACTATCCATGATGACGCCAAGATCTTTCTCCTGATTAGTTGTAGCTAAATTAGCCCCCATCATATTGTATGTATAATTGGGGTTATTTTTTCCAATGTGCATTACTTTTTATTTATCCACATTACATTTCATTTGCCATTTTGTTACCCAAGCACTTAGTTTTGTGAGATCTTTTTGAAGTTCTTCACAGTCTGCTTTGGTCTTAACCATCTTGAGCAGTTTAGTATCATCTGCAAACTTTGCCACCTCACTGTTTACCCCTCTCTTCAGATCATTTATGAATAAGTTGACTAGGATTGGTCCTAGGACTGACCCTTGGGGAACACCACTAGTTACCTCTCTCCATTCTGAAAATTTACCATTTATTCCTACCCTTTGTTCCCTGTCTTTTTTTTTTTTTTTAACCTGTTCTTAATCCATGAAAGGATCTTCCCTCTTATCCCATGACAACTTAATTTACGTAAGAGTCTTTGGTGAGGGACCTTGTCAAAGGCTTTCTGGAAATCTAAGTACACTCTGTCCACTGGATCCCCCTTGTCCACGTTTGTTGACCCCCTCAAAGAACTCTAATAGATTAGTAAGTCATGATCTCCCTTTACAGAAACCATATTGACTTTTGCGTAACAATTTCTGTTCTTCTATGTGTCTGACAATTTTATTCTTTAGCCCGGTACTGACGTTAGACTTACCAGTCTGTAATTGCCAGGATCACCTCTAGAACCCTTCTTAAATATTGGCGTTACATTAGCTATCTTCCAGTCATTGGGTACAGTATCCGATTTAAAGGACAGGTTACAAACCATAGTTAATAGTTGCACAATTTCACATTTGAGTTCTTGCAGAACTCTTGGGTGAATGCCGTCTGGTCCTGGTGACTTTTTACTGTTAAGTTTCTTAGTTAATTCCAGTACTTGAAGGACAGCCTCCGCTCAGACCCCTGATGGGATTAAAAAGCCCGGTAATGTCCCATTTCAGGCATTTGCCTCTGTGCCTGGAACAAAACCTAAGGTCCCAGTCGTTGTGCATATGTAAAGATTAGATCCAACCAAACATGCTTTAAAATCAGTTGGTCTGGATTACTTGCATCCAAGAGTTTAAAAAGATCTGGCTGAAAAGCTTGCTGGACCATAATGTTGATTCCCCTCCAGACGTTGATTCTGTCAAACTATCTTTATTTCTTCCCTTTTCTTTTTCCTTAAATTATACTAATCTTGAAAAAAAAGTTGATATGATATACTTAATCAAAATGTCATGGAGTACCAAGTCAAATGCCTTATAGAAGTTTAAGAATTTAGAACAATTCAAAATTAACATGGCACACATTAAATGGATTAAAAGCTGGTTAACTGATAGCTCTTAAAATGTAATTGTAAATGGGGGATCATCATCGAGCAGCTGCTTTTGCAAAGTGGTCCTGCAGGGATCCGTTCTTGGACCTGTGCTGTTTAACTTTCATCAATGACCTGGAAGAGAACATAAAATCATAACTGATAGTTTACAGATGACACAAATTGGAGTGGTAAATGATGGGCCACTGATAAAGTGATCTGGATTGCTTGGCAAGCTAGGTGTAAGTAAACATGTTTTAATATGGCTAAATGTACACGTATCTAGGAACAGAGTGTAGGCTATACTTACAGGATGAAGGACTCTATCCATCTTAACCCCTCAATCTTTTTCGGTCACTGCTTCCTAGGATAAACAGCTGAGTAACACTGTGGCCAAAACGGCTAATATGCATTTGGCACTGGTGTGACCACTGCTGCAATACTGCATCCAGTTCTGGTATCCTCCTTGAATTGTGGATGTTGCTAAATTAGCGAGGGTTCAGAGAAGAACCAGGAGAATACTTAAAGCTTAGAAAATATGCCTTTATAGTGAAAGACATAAGGAGCTCAGTCTACTTATATCAACAAAGAGAAGATTAAGAGGCAACATGATGAATCTTTTAGTATCTATGTGGGGAACAAATATTTGATCATAGATTCTTCAGTCTAACTGACTAAGGTCAGTCTAGATCAGGGGTTCTCAAACTGGGGGTTGGGACCCCTCGGGGGTCACGAGGTTATTACATGGGGGGTCGCGAGCTGTCAGCCTCCAGCATTTATAATGGTATTAGAATCATAGAATATCCGGGTTGGAAGGGACCCCAGAAGGTCATCTAGTCCAACCCCCTGCTCGAAGCAGGACCAATTCCCAGTTAAATCATCCCAGCCAGGGCTTTGTCAAGCCTGACCTTAAAAACCTCTAAGGAAGGAGATTCTACCACCTCCCTAGGTAACGCATTCCAGTGTTTCACCACCCTCATAGTGAAAAAGTTTTTCCTAATATCCAATCTAAACCTCCCCCACTGCAACTTGAGACCATTACTCCTCGTTCTGTCATCTGCTACCATTGAGAACAGTCTAGAGCCATCCTCTTTGGAACCCCCTTTCAGGTAGTTGAAAGCAGCTATCAAATCCCCCCCTCATTCTTCTCTTCTGCAGACTAAACAATCCCAGCTCCCTCAGCCTCTCCTCATAAGTCATGTGTTCTAGACCCCTAATCATTTTTGTTGCCCTTCGCTGGACTCTCTCCAATTTATCCACACCCTTCTTGTAGTGTGGGGCCCAAAACTGGACACAGTACTCCAGATGAGGCCTCACCAATGTCGAATACAGGGGAACGATCACGTCCCTCGATCTGCTCGCTATGCCCCTACTTATACAGCCCAAAATGCCATTGGCCTTCTTGGCAACAAGGGCACACTGCTGACTCATATCCAGCTTCTCGTCCACTGTCACCCCTAGGTCCTTTTCCACAGAACTGCTGCCTAGCCATTCGGCCCCTAGTCTGTAGCG